CAATATCTTGCCAATGCTCTACAAATCAACAAAGTAACAACAATATTGGTTCTTCTTCTTCTTCATTTCACTTCATCATTTAAACACTTTTTACACAGACACTCGCCATACTCGATCTCCAATACAATCAAATCGGTGATAATGGAAAGAAACAACTTCGAGAAATACGTGAAAAAAATATAGGACTGAAAATAACTTACTACTAAAAATCATTAAGAACGGTAGCAACCACAAACAAGAATGCTTTTACTTTTAATGTTTCCAAAATTTTATATCGATTCAACAAATATATGTGATACTTTGTAAAAACAGGGGTTTTTTCTGGTGTCCGTAGTTAGCAGAGACTACAGAGCTGTAGCGATTGTTGAAAATGTAGCAAGTAAAACTTGGTGGAAAGTGTCATTTTTACTACGATGTTACTTGAATCAATTGTTGATGGCTGTCTAGTAGTAGTTCCTGAAAGGCGAGGAATGAAAGAAAAAGGAAATTTATTAAATAGTTCGCATGTTTTTATCATAGAGTTTTAACTAAAGCGGCATTTTTCCATTAAGAGAGTAGTGTCGATTATACCTAAACAAAAAAATGTCCATTTCTCTGTTCACCGGGACGCACTTGAGAATATTTTCGTAGCATTCGTTTTATTTGGAAGTAGTAGTAAATATTAGTTAGATGAAGACATTTCGAATCGTGCACGCTTGCAATATGTTAGTGACAAGTTGTCAATGTATCAATGCCTGTTTATTCGAAATAAAGAACTCTCATGCAATATTTTATGTATGCAAGATTGATTAACTATTAGAATTTTTGAAGATTTAAGAGTTTATACACCTAACTTTTTGGATTCATTTAATTTTCAAGTAAATGGATTTTTGTATCCTTTCGAGATTAACGAGTAGAGTTTTGTATCGCAGTATTTTGGAAAGTAATTATACATTGAATTTTGTGAAATGTTCTAGAGTTATTGATAGCTACTAAATTAATCCGTATATAGATTGCATATCTGGAGTCTTGGTTTGAAGGACTATGTTATAAGAAAAGT